ATCCCAGAGAGGCTTGGCTGGGAGCAGGTGCAGCACCCCATCCCAGAGAGGCTTGGCTGGGAGCAGGTGCAGCGCCCCATCCCAGAGAGGCTTGGGGAGTCACCCGGGGCCGAGCAGGTGCAGCGCCCCATCGCAGAGAGGCTTGGGGAGTCACCCGGGGCCGGGTCCACTCTGGGGAAGTGGACCCCCTTTGCCACCCTGCAGGAAGGCACCTGTGCTGCCCTCCCTGGCATACCCACCAGGCCCCCTGAGGTAGGGACACCTAAGGTGTGGGGAGCAAGAGGAGGGCACAGGCCAGGCCCACACATCACCTCCCAGCAGGTGAATGGGCCGAGAGATGGTTCCTCCCAGGGCAGCACCAGCAGCGTCTCTGCCGTTTGGCTGGCCTGGTTGTGTGGGGTGGAAGAGGGTCCTGGGTGTGTCCTCAGGAGGCCACGGTGTGCAGAGGCACGGGGGGCACCCAGCCATTGCCACGCTCCTGCAGCCTACAGAGGGCAGGCCTGGGGCCACGCCTGTGTTTGAGAGAAGCGGGGAGGCAGGGCCCCTAGACCCCTAGGCGTGCCACTCACTCTACCCCTGCCCTGCCAGCAACATCCCCAACAGGTCCACCTTCGCCTGCCCGTACTGCGGCGCCCGCAACCTGGACCAGCAGGAGCTGGTGAAGCACTGTGTGGAAAGCCACCGCAGCGACCCCAACCGCGTGGTGAGCGGCGCCCGCCCCGAGAGACGCTTGCGCGAGGGGAGGCCTGTGGGGGACGGCGCCTGCCTCGAGAGACGCCTGCGCTAGGGGCGGCCTGTGGGGGACAGTGCCAGGCCCAGGAGCCTGCTCTCAGCGAGTCCGGGGGTGCCCAGGCCACAAAGCCTCCTGGGACCCAGGGTGGGGACTTGGCTGCCCCAGCAGCACCTGCTGGAAACCAGGGAGTGTCCATAAGTCCTTCAGGGTGACGCAAACTGAATAACTCAGTTGTCACCGGGGCACATGCCTCCAGATCTGGGGTGCCTTCCCAGGCTGAGGCAGCATTGGCAGGGCTCAGGGGAGGGCCCCCAGTCCCACTGCGGCCACCGCGCCTCTCCCCGGTCCAGCTCGGCTTGACCCCAGTGCCTGTTCCAGGTGTGCCCCATCTGCTCAGCAATGCCCTGGGGGGACCCCAGCTACAAGAGCGCCAACTTCCTGCAGCACCTGCTTCACCGACACAAGTTTTCCTATGACACCTTTGTGGTAGGCGTCCCGCCGGCACTGTCCTCCCCCACCTCCTCCTCCCTCATTCACCCTCCTCCTGCTCAGGCCCCTTGCCAGCCTCAGGGTCCGCAGGGTTCAGAGGAAGCCAGAAACGGAAGCCTCGTTTCAGGTGACCACATTCCCCGGGTTTTGTGGGGGCTGCCTGCAGATGGGGAGTGATGGCAGCTGAGTTCGAGTCGCCACTAGAGGGTGCCCAGGCCTCTCAGGGATGTGGACCACACAGGGCAGGTCCCTGCCTGTCTACCCCACAGAACCCCTCGAGGGTGAGCCAGGCTTCCTTCTGGAAGCTTTCTGGAGAGAGGTGGAAGGATTTCCATCAACATTGAACACTCCAGCCCTGTCTCCTTTTCCTACTCGCTGCGGGTCAGGCACGCACCTGGCCCCCACTCGCACAAACTCTTTACTCCTGGTGCGGCCCCTACCCTGCCCAACCCTGTTCATTCCTGGCCCTGGCTAACAGTCCTGGCGATGGCTGTCACTCCCTCTGCCAGCCGTCCAGGACCCATGCTCCACCTGCCTGAGAATGGAAATTGTTAGAGGTCAGGGAGCCCTGGCCGGCCTGCTCACCTCGGAAACCCCAGGGCTTAGAGTCCGAGCTGAACCAGCAGCCGTCCGAGTGTCCCCCTACCCAGCGGGTGATGGTCACGCCTTCTAGTCAGCACCTTCTCACCCCCTAGGAGGACTGTGCAGGCCCCGTGCCGGTGGGAACAACAGAGCTGGGTCCTTCCTGTGTCCTGCTGGAGGGAGGCAGGAAGGGTGGACACGCCTGTGTGGGTAATGGGCAGAGGGGACCTCTCCTTCCTGTCTCCCTCAAGCCCGGTGCGTCTCTCCTTCCTGTTTCCAGGACTACAGCATTGATGAGGAGGCCGCCTTCCAGGCCGCCCTGGCCCTGTCTCTCTCAGAGAACTGAAGGGAAGCGCAGCCACCCGCCTGCATCTGGGGTCAGGGATGTCCCCGCTTGAGGGACAGGCCTGGGCTCCTGTGTCGCACCTGGCACCTGCTCGGGAGCACGCCCCACCGGACCGGGAGGAACCTGCACCTGTGCAGGAGGGGAGCCGGGGCCAAGCCTCTGGGCCTGAAGACGGACCAGCTGCTGAGGCTGCCAGAGCAGGGCCGCCTGGTCCCACTGGCGTCGCTGGGTTCTTCGGTGCTTCTGGCCGAGCAGGCGGCCTCCTTGGGCAGGGCTGGCCACTGGGACCTGGAGCCGCCGCTGTGTCTTCAAAGCCATGATGCCCTCTCGTGGGAAGAAGGGACCGGCGGTGCGCGAGCCATGCTCTGCAGTCGAGCCGGAGGAGCCCAGGCTGCCGCCCTGCCCAGTCCGACCCGCTTCCACCTTGCGCATTTGGTACTGGCTTTTGTGATACTTAGGAATCCTGGCATCTTTTCTATATTATCCAGTGTGATAATCTTTTCACGTTTTATAGAGCAAAGACAGAGCAGTTACTCTTCATATTGCAATATCTGTGTTTGACTAGGAATAATAGTATTTTTATGGAATATTTACAAAATTATATTTTTTAAAAAAACAATCAAAACAAGCATTGGGGGATTGGGGCAAGGAGGGAAGGAGCAGTGGGGCAGCTGCCAGAGCTCAGGCGAGCCGTGGCGTCTGCCCGGGGCCACCCACTGTGTGTTTGGGTCCTTGAGGTTTGTGCGTTTCTCTTTGATGACTAGGAAGAAATCCCAGCACCCCGGCCACAGGCTGTGGCCGCTCCCAGCAGAGGCAGGGCCGGCAGAGCAGGGGCCTCCTCCACCCAGAGTCCGGGCCTTGGCCCCCTGTCACCTTCAAAGCTGACTGTGCCCCGCTGCGAGAGGGGACGGCACCCAGCGGTGGCAGAGCTTGGCCTGGGCAGGGACCCGCTTGGCGGGCTGAGCAACACGTCAACACTCTTTTCTGTTCTTGGCATTAATTATTGCTGTCTTTTTTTTAAAAAAGTTTAAATAAAATGTCTCAGAGCATCTCCAGCAGCCTCGACTGGGTTTTCTGCTCCACGTGTGGAGTCAGCAGCTGTGTCTGCTGGAGGCCGGCTGTGACCTCCCCAGGCCGCTCATGCTGGGGGTGCAGCCTGCAGCCCGTGTGTGCCCAGGGCCCGAGCCTCACTCAGCCATGGAGGGTCCCACAGAGCCACTTAGCCATAGGCACTGGCCCTCCTCCCTCTGAGAGGACCACCCGGTTCCTGCACCCGCAGGGCTGCTGGGGTTTGGACTCCTAGGCTGACTTTCTTTTTCTTAGAGGTGGGGTCACACTCTGTCACCCAGGCTGGAGTGCAGTGGTGCAGCTCGCCACAGCCTCTGTCTCCTGGGCTCAAGTGATCCGCTCGCCTTGACCTCCTGTGTCACTGGGACCACAGGTGTGCACCACCTCAGCGACCCCTGGATTAGCTTCTGAGCATACTGAGGGTTACGCCAACTGCCTGTAGCTCTCTGAGGGGTCACTGTCGGGGCCATGGGATCCCCTGTTCTCCAGTCTCCCAGGGCCTCAGGCCAACAGGGATCACCTGCTTGCCAGCCCCACGGCGGCTGTGGCCATCATAGACCAGTCACTGTTTCCTGCCTTCTCCCTGCCCCTCTCAGTTAAGGAGTGTTTCCAACCTCTGTTCTGGATTGTTTACTTGCAGGGCAGGTGTCTGTCCTCACCCTGAAGGCCACAGCTTGGGCTGGACACACAGGAGCCTCTACCAGTTGTCACTTGAGGGGAGACACTTACCCCCTAGGGAGCAGGGCTGACTTCCGATTGCCCTCGCCAAGGGCCACTGGAGTCCCCACCTCCCCTTCTCACTACTCTTCGACCCCTGATGACATGATCCTGTGTCTGGGAGGCCCTCACCAGGCAGCACCAAACTCCAGGGAACAGCAGAGCCACCTGCCAGCCTGCCCTTCCCTGTGGCCTTCCAGAAGGAGGCTTGAGACACAGTGTCCCCTGGAGCCATGTGGGCCTCTGACTGGTGCCCCGTGAGGCCGACAGTCCCGGCCATGTGTTCACCACCTGGCCACTGGCCAAGCCTGTCTCACCCCTTGGGCAGCCCACCCGCCACCCGCCTCCCAGCAGGAGCAGCGATGGGGGCAGCACTCCACGCCCAAGCCTGCTCCACGTCTGACCGGAGGGTGACACGGAGCCGTCACGAGGGCATGACCCTGGGTGCCCAGGAAGCCTGGAGACAGCTCTGGGCCCTGTCTGGGCAGGCCGTGGCCTCAACAGCAGCCCTCGGGGAGGTGACGCCTGAGTCTCTGCGCCTCACCTGGGGAGGACAAAGCACCTTCAAGTCACTAAGCGGCTCCTCGCCGCCTCGGGGAAGGGAGAGGAGCCGGCATGTTGTGGGAGGCGTGGATGGGCTGGGGCTGGGGCTGGGGCTGGGAACTACCTGGCCTCCCTTGCTCTGCTCTAGGCCCCCAATTCCATGGCAGGTGCCTCAGGGGGCAAATCCCGACTTGGACCGGTCTGAGGCCCCCTACTCTGTGTCACCCTCAGCTCTGAGGCCCCCTCTTGGCACTGCACTGTGACCACTGCGCTGGGGACTCAGCAAGGCCGGGGCAGGCACTGGGCCCAGGGTGGGCAGGAGAAAGACTCCCTGGGGGCCCACTGGCGCTCATGCTATGGATAGGAGCGGTTTTAACAGACTGTGGCCTCTGAAAGGGGCCAAAGCCTGTCCCTGTGTGCTTGTCCCGCTGGCCTCAGACGATGCGACTGCCCTCCCTCCCTGACTGAACCACAGCCACAAGCCTCCTACAAGCCAGCAGGGCCCAGAGTGAGGGGACGGAGTGGAGCCCAGACAAGGAGCCATCCCCGTCACATTTGGGCAGCTCCAGTCTCAAACACTGCGCCACCTCTGAACTCGCAGCCCCACCGAGCACCCACTCCCAAGCACTGGGCTACTTCCGAATGCCGAGGAAGCAGAGCCCTGTCCCCTCCCGGTTGAACCAAGGCCTCCCACTGCTGCCGCTCCCTGTCCCTGCACACGATTCTGGAGGGAGCAGGCCTGTCCCCTCCAGGTCCCCTCATGGAGGCCATAGGAGAGCTGAGAGCCACAGGCCAGCGTCTGGGTGAAGGTGCGGCCTCAGCTTTCCTCATGGGCCTGGCCGCCTCTCTGGTGACCTGGTGTCTGGGAGGGTCTGCCCAGGGGGGGACTTCAGAATGAACCCCAGCAAAGTGGGAAACTCAGGTCTGTTGGAGCTCAGCAGACCCTGCCATGGCGGGAGGATGCCTCAGGCGCGGAGCAAGACCCCTGCTCCATTGTTCTTGTTAACAAAGCCCTGGGTAGAGCCGAATGTCTGCACCCCGATACCGTGGGGGCTGTCCCAGTGACAGTGGGGAGGCCGGGACCCCTCCTACAGCCACATGAGGAAAGTGGGCCGAAGCCCCTCACGTTGGGGGTTGGGGGCGTGCACGGAGCTGGAGCCAGAGGGCCGCCCGCTCCGACCACATGGGCCGTGGCGGCTCGGATGTGGACCCACTGCTCTTAGGCAGAGTCCTGGAAGCCTGAGTCTCCCTCCCACCCTGGAGTATACCAGGGCCTGGCGGCAAGGCACAAAGCCAGGTGGGGCTCACCCTGGAGGAGCTGGGGCTCCTGCCCTGCGGGGTCCAGGCCCGTCGCAGACTTGCAGCAGCACGCCCTCGGTTTCACGTTATATAACAGCGTGGGGAGCATGAACCCTGCTCCCCAGAAAGCGCCTCCAGGTCCCAGGGACCAGGGAACTTCTCCATTAGAAAGGGGTCAGGTGGGAACGGCGATCCCCCGGCCCCAGGCTGGGCCCCCAAGAAACTGCCAGTAATTCTTATACCTGGGTCTCAGGAGCCACAAACAGCATTTTGGGCACTCGGAGACGGCGGCAGCAGGGTGTGGTTTGCAAGACTCAGCCCAGGCCTTTCCAGAACTGCAGGTGTGCGCAGGGGGGCGGGGGGCTGCCTCCAATAAGGGTCTCCCAGCTGCAGCTGCTCTACCCCGGGACCCGCACACCTACCGCAGCAGCCTCACCCTCCCAGGATCCTCTGGGTGCATCTGGGTGGTGCCTTAGGATTCCTCTAAGTTGGGGCCACCTGGTTTTAGGCTCCTGAGGCCCTCGGGAAGGAGGCAGAAGCCTCAGCTCCTGTTTCATAGATGAAAAGAGATATTCAGAAAACCTGCCCCAAATCGCCTGCTAACAAGAGGCAAACCGGGCTGATATTCCACCGTGTGGCCCAGCCCGGGGAACCTACTTGGCATCCCATCTGGAAAACCCCAGAGGCCTCCGTGGGAGACCCCTAACCCTCTGCCTAGGATGTGATGCAGGGAGGACGAAGGTGGGGAGGGAGGACGCCCTCAGCTACAGGCAGCCTCCTCCAATCCGAAACACCTGGGAGGACCCGGCCCCATCGAGCGGTGGCCTGAAAAAGCCGTCTCCGGTATTGCTGCCTCTGCCGCCCTTCCTTCTATAACCACATCCCCACGATTCTCTGCTCTCTCAACTCACTCTAGGAAAAAGAGGCCTAAATTCACTCAGCAAGGTATCACAAAGTCAAAGGCACTTTAACAAAAATAGCCTAAGGAATGCATCTCTAACAGTGGGCTTTGGGCAGAAGTAGAGATACTTTTGAGAAGGAGTCTCCCAGGTTCAAGCAATTCCCCTGCCTCAGCCTCTCGAGTAGCTGGCATTACAGGCACGTGCCATCACGCCTGGCTAATTTTTGTATCTTGAGTAGAGAAAGGTTCCACCACATTGGCCAGGCTGGTCTTGAACTCCTGACCTCAAGTGATCCACCTGGCTCGGCCTCCCAAAGTGCTGGGATTACAGGCGTGAGCCACTGCACCCAACCGGAGATACATTTTTGCAGGGCAAGGGGAGACTCCACATGGCACCCACTCAGAGCCCAGGCCTTGGCAGGTAGAAGCCTGGCTGGAAGCCGACCAGCCCCTCTGACATGCAGTCCTGGTCTTGGCCACGGTTTGGGCTCTTCCAGCAGAGGGTGGCAGGCTGAACCTGGAGCCAGTGCGACCCCCGCAGAGTCCGCCATGTGAGCTTCCCAGAGCCTCTGGAGAGGAGTGGCTGTGGCGCCAGCCCCGGAAAATGGGAGTGGCACCCACGCAGTGCTTTTCTCGGAACCCTCAGTGCACCTGCTGTGGGTATGCAGGGACTGGGGTGTGGTCGGCATGGACAGCAGTGGCCTGTTCCCACAAGTCCCTCTAATCAGGGGCGAGCCAGGGCCTGAGGCCTTGTCCCAGTCCGGACTATGGGTCTCCTGGGCTGCTGCATCAAGGGGCCACAACCTGGGGTGCTGAACACAACAGGAGTCTGAGTGTCTCCAGCTCAGGAGGAAATCCAGCACCTAGGTGTGGACGGGCTGTGCCGTGGGGCGGGGGCGGGGGCCAGGGGTGGCCGCAGCGGCCTGGTGCTTCTTGGCTGGCAGGGGCATCGCTCCTGTGGTCAACACACAACTCCTCTGCACCCGCACGTCACCCTCCCCCCGCACCAGTCCTTGGATTAGGGCCCACCCTAATGGCCTGACCTTGACTTGATGGCACCTGTGAAGACTCTATTTTCAATAAGGCCCCATGCCCAGAGGTGGGGGGACCCCACCATCTTTTAGGGGGCACAGTTCAGTCCATGGTGCCATCCGTCAGTGCACTGTCGATACTGTCCTTGGCATTTCTGGAGGCACTGGGGCTCCAAGGACCCTGCTGATGTGGTAACCCAGGGTGCAGGCCACAGAGAAAGCACCTTCACGCTGTCGAACCCGCTGCTGGCCTGCATCTGGAAGGGATGCTAAGTCCCTCTCCCCCAGGGGCCGCCTCTCCCATGTCTCCCACCCAGGTGCCCCTGCCCCAGGCCCACCCCTGTTCACAGGAGCCCTGGACAGTGCTCATCCGGGTCCCAGGCGTGATGCGGCCCCAGCCCCTTGCCCGGCAGGCATTGTTCCCTTTGTGGCTCGATGAGAGAACACACTCAGCGGGCTGAGTTCCTCCTTCCCTCAGCCGCAGAGTGTGGCCC